TTTAACTTCCCATAAGCATGTTAAGCACCTCTTTAAAATGCATTGACCTCTAATTATTTCTTGCTCTATGTATCCCTTAGCCCACATTGAAGAAATAAAAAATATTAGTATACAGTGCAGAATAATACAACCTGGTTTTTTAAAAAATTGTTTAATTTTGTAAACAGAATGAAATTTTAACACCATTGGGTCCTCCAAAAATCAAAATGCCATGCATAATGACTGAATTTCATGCTTTATCGTGTGAAGTGACACTGATGAAACTGCTTTTAAGTAATGGGCCAAACTCATTATTACAGTAGGGTAGGAAATTGCAACATTCAGGCTTTTGACTCTCTGATTACCAAGTTGCAAAAATTGTAACCATGACAGAAGCTGCAGTCTGAGGTCTTTCTGAAGTTACAAGATGCACTGGATTTGTGGGATTTATGCAGTGGAACTTGTATACTAAGGCACCTACGTTAATAACATTTGTGTTTTTCTGAAGTCAAAGCATGATTGGCAGAAAAACTGGCTTTATGCTTCAGTGAGAGCATTTCACTTTCTTTTCACTGGAGGAATTTTTAGCCTGGCAGCAATAGCATTATAATAACTGCCAGCTGCTCACTTGGCACAGAAGTGCCTAGAACCAAGAGAAAAAGCCTGGTGCATTATATGTGTAATTTACATTTCTCTAAAACATGAAAGTTTAGGCCTCGTAAACATTTTGATCTGATCTTTGATGGCCTTTGTGCACATAGGTCTGGGAACATCCATGCAGAGCATAGCTTGCAGATTTTAGTTTGGAGTACGTTGAAGTAATTCCCACCAGGATAAGAAGAGAAATTATTCTGGGAGATTCATCTGTGAGTGGGTGGTCAGGAAAGAAGGAAAATCTTTAATGCTAAGCAGATGGACCTCCCTCGTTTTATACTGTATATTGGGGATGCAAGATAATAATCTCCCCAAATATTGGATAGGATTGACCTGATTTTCACATTAAAAGAGTAAGGTTCAAGACATTGTTTGTGAGGTAGAAACTTGGGAATGGAAAGGAGACTTTTTGTACCCTCGGTTCTGTGCCTGCCCACCACCTTCAGGGCAATGACACAGCAGAAATTAGGTCTGGAAGGGTACATGGGAGCAACTGTACCTTTCTTCATCTGTAAACTCACACAGTTGTAAGCCACAGGACACTTCTTGACTCACAGTGCCACTTTACTCTTTGGTATTTAAAACCGGTTTCAGAAACTATGGTGTACCAAAGGAAAAACCAGGAAAGAATATGGGCCTTTTTAACATCTTTATTTCTAAATCCTTGAGACATATCTGGAATCGGGCCATGCAGGGGTAGGAAGTAGGTAGGAGGACATGGTTGTCTTTGGTGGTCTGATTTAGGAGAGAGAGACATCTGCTCTGATCTGGTAGTCGGTTTTACCATAAGTATCTCAGCAACACACACTGAGGCATGTAAGAAAGTTAAGACCAGTAGGTGCTACCTTGCATCTCCACATTTAATTTCTTATAATGATCAATCTCCAGGGAAGTTAGAGGAGACTGGAATTCGGGCGATTTCACCTGCATCCATGTGGGAGGGGAAAAATTTTCCTTGTCTTAAAGACATCCTGGGACATGCATGGGAGTATAATATTTGGGAATTCAGAGCTCTAAACTCTAAAGGAGTATGTGATTTGAAGGAAGTTTTTTAAACTTGCTTCACAGTTTTTTTATTAAAAAAATAATAATGCCTTCTTTCTTGGCAGACTTTGTGTTAAATAGATTCTTTGTAGAAGGAGCTGTCTTATTCAAAGTACCATGCAGTAGTCAACTAATGAGTCTCTGATCTCAGCTGCTAGGGTAATGTAAACAAATGCTGTTTTACTATTACACAGTGCTGCTTTAGTGATACTTCTTTTTTTTGAGATTTTTGCCAAGCCTGATCTATTTCAAGTGAATGGGGAAGCAACATTTTGATTGAAAGCAGCTGCAAAACCCAACCTGCTCTGCAAATCCCAGGCTTTCAGTTGGGAGTTTCCACATCTAGGCATTGCAGTTCATTCTAAACCCTGTTGGAGATGTGGACAAAAGAAATGAAAAAAAAATGGAAGAAAATTACTACCGGGTCTCTCTCTCCTATCCATCCACTTTAAGTTCCATTGTATTTTGTGGTTCCCAGGCTTCTCTGATAGAAGGATGATAATATGCATGTGATCTGTTTCTGCTTCAGTTACTTATGGATCGTGAGTGGCAGTGGGACTGACCAGCTGCTGCTTGTGTCCTGGAGTCGCTGCCTCAGTTGCTTTGAGGAACAGAAAACGAAAATGCGCTTCTCTACAGGTTGAGGGCAGGAGGGAGGACTTCCTTCTGCAGTGTCACTGGAACAGTGAAAGAATCACAGAATATTAGGAGTTGGAAGGGACCTTGAAAGATCATCTAGTCCAACACCCCTGCCAGAGCAGGATCACCTAGATGAGGTCACAAAGGAACGCGTCCAGGCGGGTTTTTAATGTCTCCAGAGAAGGAGACTCCACAACCTCTCTGGGCAGCCTGTTCCAGTGCTCTGTCACTCTCATAGTAAAGAAGTTTTTCCTCTTGTTTAGGTTGAACCTCCTATGCTCCAGCTTGCTCCCATTGCCCCTTGTCCTATCATTTGACATCAGAGAGAAGAGCCTAGCTCCTTCCTCCTTCCTCCTGACACTCACCCTTTACAAATTTATAAACATTAATGAGGTCACCTCTCAAGAAAGACTGCAATTTTTCATGCAGGTTCTTTTCCTTATGAGCTTTCAGTGCCCTATGCAAAATAAATGCAGTTTCAGAAAATGCCATCGTCAAATCGAGAGTGGTGTGGAGTTTTGGCTCCAGTAGTAGTCAGTTCAGATGAGCTTCTACCTATAGGCAGAATAAGAAGTCCCTGAAATGTGTGCTTGTTTGGAGCTATATGCCCCATTTGATTTGGATGTTCATTAAATGATCACTTGCCAAGCTTTCTCATCAAAACTCAAACTGATACAAACAGTAATGTGTAAAATTAGATCCAAATAGTCGTTGAAGTTCTCTTAATTTAAGAGTAAACTGGTTTTATTTGTTTGTTAGTTTCTTTTATGTCTTGCACATTTGTGGGGGTGTACTGTTCTAAAATGAGCCCTACTGGAAGAGGTAAAGTGCTGCACACTGATGCCTCCCAATGACCAATATAAAGCAGCACGCTATGTATATTTGTAGAACTTTTCACCTCCTCCACTCATAATATCATCATTAGATCGTGTTTTAAAGTAACTATTAAACTTATCATGTACCAGCCAGCAAGTGCTTTTGTTTTAAATTCTCATTTAACTTTGTGCAATGATTGTATATTATCAAGCAAGGAGGGGACAGCTGCAGCATTTTAAAATACAAGTACATGGAGAAGATAATTTTTATTTTTAACACGGTAGCAAGAATTCCATAGGAGTTGAAATAATAGCTAGTGTACTCCTAATAATTAAAAATAATATTAATAAAGGAAGGAAATTCAGTGAAAATGTCAGTGTATATAAAATTCTATCTACCACTTTATGGTATCCAACAAAATCTTTAGTTGTCTAAAAAGCCACTGCTATTATTTAAGGAATATATTCTCATTTTGAGTATTTTCATACTGCAAAAAATAACATTATCTGCAAGTTCCTACCTCTTTTTCTTGTATTTTTTTCCTCTCACAACTGTATTCAAATAAGACCACCAGAAACCAACTCATTTGTGGACAGTGATTATTTTATGGGGAAACCTAAAAAACTAGGATGTTAGCATCACCTTTCAGAGACAGTGTTCTTGGTTCAAGGTCAGCCAGTTGATCTTTAACCCACCCTGCATAGCTTAAAGTGTTTTTTTAGCACATACGTTGTCTGCTGATATTGGTCCTTTTTTCTATGTTTCTATTGGCGGAACTTAATGAGATTACATCTGTTTTGATGAATAATTGCTGCTGTGTAAACTTGCCACCTACATACAGTGACTCTTATGAATATTTGATGATAATAAGTAGTTGGAACTTCACTGTGATGTTCATATGCACTTAAAAAACCAACAGCACAGGAATAGCTTTTGTTCTGCTTTTTGCTTGCAGTAAACACTATGGCATCTATATACATGTTAATTATTAGGCATATCTAACATATTTATGGTCTTAATACTAAGAGTTCAATTTAAATAATAATTTTTGTTGTTTTAGGAGAGGAAGGATGCAGAACAGAAGACACAATTTTTAACATCTAGATTTCTATTTTAAGTTGAGGCAGGGTTGACTGATTGGTCTCATGCTTCTAGCTATAAATTAGCAGTTGAGAAAAGGGAAAAGACACAGTGGAACATACCATTTGCAGCCATGTTCAGCAAAACCTAAAATTAGTATCTGTAGATAAGGAATTCTGTAGTCTCTGTGCAATGTCATTGGTCTATCCAGTATCACCTTATAGATCCTATAGGCAGCAGTTTTGTGTTATATTGCAAATTAGGCAATGTCTGTCAACAGCAGACATAACTTTTTATCATCTCTTCATTCAGTTTTGTTTTTTGTAGACAGTATAATAGAAAGTCCTTACCTTGTATGTTGTTTCAAGATGGTTTTGTGCGAAGCTGGTGTTGAAAACCACGTTCCTGATTTGTGTTGAATTGTGATACTTGATTTTGTTTGCACATTTGAAAACTTACTATTTTCGTTATCCTTCTTGCTTGTTCAAAACACACACTAATGTTTTCTGAGTTGCCACAGGTAGTTTAATTATATATTTTTTCTTCTGAGACTTGCAGGGCCTGCTACACAGCTATATTTTTCCTTACTGAAATGGTGAGGACAGCAGCAACAGCCCTGATATTTATAGTTAGAGGGATTTTTGTACTTGACGTAATCTGGCATGGTCATTACTAGAATTTTTTCTAGTAGTTCCTGCATGTTGAGAGTGTAAACTCTGTAAGTTTATTCATGCCACTGTAATATTTGCTTGAAAGGCAGTGCTTAATAGAACTTATTTTTCTTTCAGGGAATCAGTTTCCTCCCATTGCAGCTCAAGATCTTCAGTTTGTTCTGAAGGCTGGATACTTGGAAAAACGCAGAAAAGGTATGTCTGAATATCTTTGTGAAAACTAGTGCATACTTTATATCTGGGAAGTCTATGAGTCAGTATTTGATGCTATACACACAATTAACCTCATACATGAGTGATAAAATGGAGTAGAAGCTGATATGTTGAATTACTATTATGCAAAAGAAGCACAGCACATAATTGCTCCTGTAGTATTAAAAGAAAATCCTATTTCTTTATTGACTAAAAAAAATCATGCTGTGAAAGTTCACTGTCAGCGATAATTCAGAGACTTTCAGATATTTTTGAAGAAAACATTAGGAACATATGTAAAAGTACCATATGTTGACTTCATGTTTCAGTGAGCATCAAGATTTATTTTCCTTCAAGAGGGCAAATATTGATCTCAGCTTTGGTTCAGTCAATATTTACCTTGATTCAATAAATCTTATATTGTCACTTTAATACCCACTTAATGCTGCAGTAACTCTGGCAAATATTTAGGAAGTTGTTCATTTTTTCCTTATATTTAATGTTACACATGACTTCTCTCTTTATGTGATTTCAATTTCCCATTTGTTTTCTTACCACCAATTTTTATTTCTAATTATCTTCTCAGTGACATACATTTCTTCATATCCTGATTTTGTTTCCTTTCCTTAGCACTTTTCCTGTCTCCTCCTCCTTTTTTCCTCACCTTTGAAAAGAAGTAACATATTTGTGTTCAATAATGCTATAAAGTGATGTAACGCAAATTATATTAATTGCAGACCACAGTTTTCTCGGCTTTGAATGGCAAAAGCGTTGGTGTGCTATCAGTAAGACAGTCTTCTATTATTATGGAAGTGACAAAGGTAATTATAATAATTATGATAAACTATAAAAATGATCCAATGCACAGAAGAATGTGAAAGCTTTAGTTGATTTGGAAACTGTGACTCTAAGGTCTATTTAAGAAAGCAAATGAAATTTTTAAAAGAATAGTGAATTTTAAGATGTGTAAAATTTTCTGCTGTGAATTCTAAAAAACGTGTAAATGTTTTTTGGAATCTGTAAGTGGTATGCCCATTTTCTGAATCAGGGAAACTGAGAAAAAAAGTCTGTTACCTGTCAAGTTACCTTATGTGCCAACAACAGCTAGCTGTTGGGTTTGATAGTATTCTGGTACTTAATTAATTAACTGGACAGTAAATATTCTTTCTGTCCAAACAGGATTTTAATTTTAAAACACCCTCTAGCAATTATACCTTCTGCGTTCTTTCAACATAGTTCTACCCAGAAGCATGTAAGTCTAAAAACTGCATAGTTGGAGTTCTGTGTTTCTTTTGAAATAGCTTATGTTCTGCAAAACCAGAAATGAAGTAATATGTTTAACTAAAAGCCAGTCATGGAGACTAAGGCTAGTTTCTGATTAATGGCCAGTTTAGAAATAATCTGGCATAAATGTTGGGATATCACTGTGAATTTTAAAAACTGACAGTCAAAAAAACCATCCTTTAGATTGTGTGCCAAATGTATTTGATATGTAAGAGTAAAACAAATGATACAGAAATATATCGGAGTAAATTTTGTAAGTGCAATTATCTTTTTACCTCCAAAGAAAACTTACTCCTGTGCAAGCTTTCCATTGAAGCTTTTTCCTTCTGTTTATATTTATATGACCCTTCTTGAGATTAGTGCAGGTAGTTATTTTGTATTGTTTTATTAAAAAAATATAATTTAATTTGTTCCAGTTTGTTTAACTTTTCAATATGCTGGCTTTTTAAAATTCATCCTCTCTATTAAAGGAAAAAAAAAGAGGAAATTAAACAAGGGTCTAATTGTAAGTTCAGTTTTCATCCTGCTACAATTTCCCATAAGATTCTCTGTTTCCAGAGTTTTGTTGGGATATCTGCTAAATGTTTTTGTCTTATTTTGTTTTGTTCTGTTCTGTTCTGTTCTGTTTTGTTGGGGTCTTTTTACTCTTTCCTTGGCATTTACGGATTGATCAAGCTTCAAAAACATTAGCAATCTTTCTTCAAAAATTTTGCGGAGGTACGGGATAACATTGATTTATCAATAATAATTTGTTTCCCTGGAAAAATATCTTGTGCTTTTTGTCTATATGTAGTTGTAGTTGTTATCTGGTTCTTAAAAAAATAGCAATTATTTTGGTCAGAATATATGACTTGTTCCCAATTTTTAAATCTTTGGCTCTTCATCTGCTAGTTTTTGCAAAAAAATAAAAAGAAAAAAGAAAAAGCTTTGTATTTTTCACTTCTTCTTTCCTTTGTGTCTATGTTAATGGTTATTTATACTTTCTAGCATATGGTCTTTGGATTAAGGCAGGAAAACTGCCCACTTCCCCTTTTTCCATCCATTTTTTAAATTTTGCAACAAGTGACTATCTAGGCTGCTTTGTAATTTCTAATAGCTATATTGAAATTTAAGATATATGGAAGCATGTTCACTAGCACTTGACAGGTTGGTGTCATGTTAGGAAGTCACTGGGATGCACTGTGGGATCTCTTTCCTTTATGGATCTATAAGATTGTCGGCATGGATGAGGTGTGTGATGAGACAATCCTGAGGAGACCTGGCATTTAGTCACTGGAAGAACCTGAAACTGTTTTCACTCCCGCTATTACTGCTAGTAATGGTACCTGCTGTAGCATGTTGTCATACTGGGGCCCTTCTTTGTTTGCTGCGACTTTTGAGGCTTTACCAGATAACTTGGGCCACATAGAAAATGAAGGCATGTTCTTTACCAACTGTAGAACAGTGGTGAAGTGTACATTTGGGTGGGTTCATGAAAATTGCTGCCACCTCCTGCATGGTTGGGATGGTGTCCAAACCACGCTGGTCTGCCCTAGTTTGTACAACTTCTGCAGATGTTTTGTGTCAGCTGAGACCTGGTTTCTGACAGGTTCCAGGGCTGATTCACACAAGAAAATTTCCCCTTGTCAATGTGAACTCAGTTTGAAGAGGGACAAGGGAGAGGGGGATTCCATACGTGCTCAGTCTGCTGCCTGTGTTACATTTAATGAGTAACGGAGTGCTAGTGCCTCTGTGTTGTGGGATGTAATGCAGACAGGCAGCAGGGATTTCTAGGTCCTACTTGACTTGTTCTGCATTGTGTATGTTTTTAAAACCAGACACATAGGTGAATAATCTGTGAAGAATATTTTGTATCTGGTGCTGTGAGTATTTTGTTGTCCAGGGTTTGATTGTCTCTCTTAAATATCAGTGTAAATGTAACCGAGTGCTAAATATAAGGTTATAGGATGCCCTTTTACTAGGTTGTGTAGATTTGTTGTTTCTAAAACATTTCTAATTCTTCTTTCTCCTTTTTACATTGGGAAGGCAAGAAGAAATATAGAAGTGTATAAAGCTCACAAATGGATGTAAGAAGTTTCAGAATAATTTATTCAGAACTGAATGATGAAAAATGAGGCCTAGTCCAGAATACAGTGCAAGCTACAGTCTGTGAAAATAAAGTAAATGACTGTGTGTTTGTGTATGTGTGCGTGTTTACCCAAGAGATTACAAGCATCCTTTTAACAGTTGTGATGCCTGCAGGCTAATGAATGTCTTGGTTCCCTGTTTCCTCCTCCATTTTCTTGTACATTTGGTGTAGCATTGGACCAAATTAACGTTATTTATTCCTGCAGTATAGACGGTTCTAAGCTAATCCACCTACATTTTTTTCCCTGATCAATGATTTGTGGAGTAGATGGAGGAACAAGGCTTAAAAATTTGACCTAATTACATGTCAGAAATAGGTATTGCAGGAAGCATGTGTATATTTGTGCTTGTGGGGCAATATCTGTTGCCAGCCTGTGGCCCACAATATTGCAGAGAACCGTGTTCAAATGTCAGAGCTGGCTTGGATTTCCAGAAGCTTGCCTGGTCCTCCTTTTCATAGTCTTTCCTTCCTTAAACCTGTTATAGTCCTTCTGTTTTCTTTGCTTGCATGCAGTGGAGTACCCTGTTTGCATATCATTTTTCTATATGATCTTTGGCAGTTCCTGTGTACTCAGGCACCTAGGTGGTATGAGTGACCTTTCAGACCTCAGAGTGCATGTGAAGAAGGAAAATTAATTTGTTGCTTTATAAATGAATGAATTAATGGCTTCATTACTGCTTCCTCACTAGGCCACAGTGTTATATGCCCTTCTGTTTCAGCAAACTGGAGAGATCAGCTAAATGCTTAGTAATTGATGACATCATGGTAATTTTTCCCCTGTTAATAGGCACTAAACATTTATTTTCATTTTTATAACTTGAAAAGGGTATTGGCCTGCCTGCCAGTAATATGATGTTGAAGAGGGGGATAATTCGGAGGCTTTTAGAAAAGTCTGAGTTAATTTTTAAAAATTAATTAATTAAATTAATTTATTTTTAATTTTTTTTAATTTTAATTTTTCAAATTTTTAACATGGACATGAAAATTTTGGATTTCTTTAAATAGTAAGGTAATGATGGCCAGGGCAATGGATAGATTACTTCTATTTGTGCAACTGAGGGGTTTTATTTTATTTTGTATTTTGTTTTTTTTTGAAGAACTTGGTGAATTAACAATATTAAGGGAGAGGGAAGCCTAGTTAGAATTACATTTGCAAGTTTGCCCTAGTGACTCGCCTAACCAGGCTATTGGAATTTCTGTCACATGCTGGGCTTGTGAATTTCTCCTTCTAGGAGTGAGAAAGATACACACACCCAATGGAAAGCTCTTGAAGCATAATTTTGCCTTTAGCTACCAACCTCCTTTTCTTAGTCTTCCCTCTCTGAACAACCACACAGGAAAGGAAAAAAAAATCCTTGTTTAGTTTAGACTTTACTTTTGACAAAATCCATAATTGAAATCTGCAGGAACTGTGAATGTTCAATAGGATTTTGTTGTAGCAGGGTGATGGCAGTCAAAGGCATCTATCTAATGAGTACTAAATCTTCTGCTATGAGAATGTTAAATTCAGACCTCAAGAGGCACACTTTCCATTAATAGCACGTTATTTAAAAAAAAAACTATTGAGTATAAGCAAACTGAATATAAAAAACCTGGTGCCTTAAATAGTGTGTTTCAATCATTGCCTTAATTTATTCACTTTTTAAATTTAGATTTCTCAGAGGACTAGATTAAAGGAAAGGGAAAAAAAAGTTGATTGCATTTGAGATCTGCTATCTAAAAGGGAAGGACTCCTATGCATGCATTTGGAAAGGACTGTTCTAAAAGCTGGAAAAGGAATTACCATTTTGGAGATACTGACACTTACTATTTTTAGAAAGCAGACATCCTGCATATGGAAAAGTATGTGAAACTACATTTAGCATAAAGCCATGTAAACCGTAAGATCTTACAGGCTCCTAATTTCAAGATGAAGAGAGTTAAATTATAGATTATAATAGTATCTATAAATACTTTATCACTCTCTGAAGTCTTTCTGTTTGCCTTTGTTCCTTACGCCTTTCTCTGAAACTTCTTTCCTTTCTGCTATCCGAGTCCTCTCTGTTCTTCAGAATGCACTAATTCTTTTTACATGTGCTAATAATATAGGCATATTGCCTTAGGCCTCAAATTTACAACCCAATCATTTCAAGACCTCATTGAAGGTTTACTCTTCTTTGTTTTAAAAGTTCCCATGGACTCAGTTACGCGAGGTTACTTCAAAACCCTTTTTCTCTGCTTCCCTTGAGACTTTTTTTTTCCCCAAGATAATATTGGCCCTGTTTCCATTGTTAACAACATTTCACTATTTTTAGGATGAATGAAGTTTATATGTAAGAAAAATGTTTAAAGTAGTTCTCAGATTTCACTGAGATCATTATTATCTCTATTTTAAATACAGCCCCCTCATATTTATTGCTCTCAAATATATATGTACTAGTTTTGAATTCTTCTTTTTTTTTTTTTAAAACTTAATGCCTGACTCTCCACTCTGTTATAGTAGCTTTTTACAATTCTAAATTCCTG